TGTCTTCTTAATTCCTTGTTGTTTGAAATGTGGTTCAATAACTTTCTGAATGCTATCCAATCTCTTCAATAACAACTGCTAATTTGTTTCTAGCGTTATCAGAGGTTTTTGTGAAATTTTGTTGTTTTGTGAACATTAACCATATCCACACAATCCTTGGAGGTGAAAATTATGATTCTATTTTATAGACAGGAAAGTGGAAAACAAATTTTATAGTCTTATTATTTTTGAGATCTGATAGTCTATTCACCATTTTTTTTTGTTTGACAACAGAGCTACCTTTAGATCTTACTTCATTTTCTACGTTGTAGAAAAGTAGAAAGCATCTTTCAAGAGACAGCATCTTCTCTCATCATAAATCTGATGGACACACGAAACCTGGGTCTGTGAATGTATGAAGAGATTTCTAACCATACAAAACACAAATCAGTATTGTATAAATCATTCATCTACTTAGCTGAGCAATATGTATAATGGAATTAAACCTTATCCGTGATCACCTATATATTTCAAAAGAAAACAAAAGCATAAATTGCAGCCTAATAGGGTGGTGATATCAGTATAATCAGGACCCTGTGCATCTACCACAGTACTTTTTCAGTACTTCAGTGAATGGCATGTCTCTGAACATCAGGTTTGCATCCTTTAACACCAGTGCTAAAAAGAAATGAGACTTTTGCCAAAAGGTTTCATGGGTGTCTGCCAGGAGCAGAGGAAAAGTGAGCTTTAAATCTTTAACTTCATTCAAAGTACCACCATGTATGGATTCTCCTGTTTGCTTGCAACTTCATCCAGTTTGTAGGAACTCAGTCTCCTCCTGAGCCAGAGGTGCTGGCTGTGCATTTAAACTTCAACCCAAACTGTCCCTTGTTTGACAGAGTTGTAATTATGCAGCTCTGTTCTTGAAAATTTCTCTTGTTGGCTTATGCACAACAAAAGGCAGGGGCCAGCATTTCTTGAAGTGCAACAATCATTTATCAGGATAATATTCTTAACACACACTACTTCAGACTAAATTAGCCTGTTAATTGCAGATGAACAGCAGGTTGCCATTCTTTGCAATTTTTTAGTATTTTCAGGCTTTTTAATAATTATTTTGTTTTCCACTGGATGCCAGGGTTAACAAACAAATAAGTGGGTGGCAATTTCAAGCACAAAAGTAAGCTGCAAGCAGTCCTTGTTCATTTGATTTTCACTATCTGCTTTCATTTGCCTAATTGTAGCAGGTAGGTTGAGGTCAAATGGTTATGCCAGGGAAGCAACTCCTGACTTCTTGCTTCATGAGGTAATTCATGATAATCTGGAATAATGATAACAAGATTTGGGAAAAGTTCTGTTGGATAAGCCATAAATGAAGAAAAGTTATGAGCAAAACTGCTACAACACACTGCTCCTTGCTTATATTTTGTGCAAAACTCTGCCTATGCCCACATTTCCGGGTAGCAAGCAATAATATAGATTATACCGTGCCTCACAATGTAATGTGAGATGTTGAGTGCCCAAGTAGCTGTGGATAAGTAAGGGGAAATGTAATGCTGAGATTTTATTTATATACTGTTGAGTAATTTGAAGTGGCAAACTTTATTTTCTTAGATAGTCCTTCTGGTCTAAACTCTAAGCCCCTGAATAAAGTTCATTTGCAATCTCTGGATGCTAATGGCATCCTGAAGAGTAGCAGCAGTGCTATCAGTACTTAATTTCTCACTTTTAGTACTGTTTATCTGTAACTCTTATCCATATATTTTTACATATATTTATGCTTTTGAATTCAGCAAAATGCTCCACAGCAAAAAAAAAAAAAAAGGAATATGGGGAGTGGGCTATTTACGTAAATTGGATATAGACTAATACAAAAAAATCAAAGTTAGATTCCAAGTCTTGCTTACCTGTCCTTGCCAGCAAAAATAGTATTTTATTAGGCACTATGTCCAGATTTTCCAGATATTAGAAATTGATACAGCAAAACTGAAAGCTGGTTTATTAAAACAAGGTAAAAATCACCTGGGTTTTTATTTTAATTTTAGATATATATATATATATATATATATATTCTATATATGTCTGTGACTATTGAGATTACCTTTGTTTTCCACTTAAAGCATAAAAATAATTTTCCAAATAATTTTCCAAATAATTTTTGACTGCAATCTTTCAGCTCCTCCTTTTACCTCACTTTTACATATGCTCAGCTCTTTTCTCCTTTTCTTAACTATTTCTCCTTTGCTTACCAAAATTTCAGCCTGTTAAATTTGTCTGCTATGAGCAACTTGAAGAGTTTACCGTGTTTTGTAGTAAGCTCTCTGAAGTACCACTTTGTATTAAGGAGGATTACTCTTATAAGTAAAAGTCTCTAGAATTTGCTAAATACAAGTGCAAAATAGGGAAGTGCACTTCAATTTCTCATCTTTTGTAGTTTGAGTCTTTTTATGTACATTATTTTTGTAATATATTTTATTAGCTCTACTTCAACGGCATTTGGGTTGTTGCTTTGTGATACACAGAACACAAACACAAAATTTTTAGGAGCTTGATTGTTACTAGTTGTTCATAGTATGTAGCCATTTCCACAAGCAATTTATAACAGTATGGCATGATTGTGAGAACTTGTGAAGAACAGCAAACTTCCTCTTTCCTGAAGTTCTCAGAGATGAAGAGGCTTTCCAGCAGCATTTGGTATCATTCACTCTTGTGCATCAGCAGAATTTCCTTTCACTGCCATTGCTATCACATCCCCCTGGCTAGTGGTGAATTTCAATAACTAATTTGTGTTCACCCCTATCAACATGGAATATGCCATGCAACTCCTCTGGCACTTACCCATCCTTTCTGAGCTGTGTGTTTGCATAACTTTTTGGCATTCTTTGTCCAAGTTAAGTCCCAAGGCTTTATTAAAACATTTTTTGTCTCATGATTAAGAAGTTTCCAGGAGCTCTTAATAAAGCTCTAAACTTACTGAAGCTGTTATGTCATACAGCCCTCAAAACACTATGATTAAGGCCATTTATGGCCTTGCAGACTTATCAGGCAACAACTTGACTCTCCTTGTCTCTTTTGCCTTTTGTGATGACCAAAATTGAAAAATACATTTATATGTTTAAGTTTATATGTGGGTTTGCTTCTCCTGACTGCCTGTACTAGGAGTAAGAATACACTCCTTTCTCTTTCACTGCATCCCTACTTAAATGGTGTTTGGTCAGGCCATGGAGAAAAGTGCAAACTGAAACACAATTGCAGCACCACAGGCTACAACATAGGCAAGCCTTTTGTCAAGTTTCAAAGCTTTGGATTTATTTTAACAACCTCTGTTGCTGAGCACTTTGGCAGAAGTGAAAACCTGATCATGCTTTTCAGAGTTTTCCAGGTATTGAAATAGGATTTTCTGTATTTCACTAGTGAGTATGTGTATCATTAAATCCAAGCAGCCAGAGAGGCTAAATGGAAAACTATAAATAGAAATTAATTTTGTGACTCTGCCTATATTGAACTGGAAGATATGAGAATAATAAGGAAAATTAAAAATTGCTGGTATAAAAATTGTATACTTTAAGGACAAGGCTGCTGCTTATATACTTTAAGGACAAGGCTGACCTGAATTTGAAGATTATCAGATAGCAAGAAACTGATAGTACTTTGATATCTTGAAAACTTCATAAGTACTGTACAGACAGTCTCTCAGTTCATGTGTTACAACTGAAAACTGATCTGGTAACTCTATATCAACTAGTTTGTGAAAGGCTTCTAGTACAAGGGCAACTGGACAGATTCATGACCTCAGCAAAATACTGCTGCATTCTCCAGAGCCAAGGTGACGTTACCATGGGTAGGCTTTATATTGTACAAGAAACCCTGTGTATCAGCATTTTCTGAGGTTCTGGGGGCTTTCTGTGTTTCATTATCTGTTGTAAAGAAAGACCATTTTTTTTCTTTTGTAACCTGTCTGTGCTGCTTATCCTGAAAAGTGGGAATCAAAGTCTTTTAACCATCTGGAGAAAGAGAGAATCCTAAATAAACAGGAATAGCAAAAAATACAAATAGCAGTACTGTAAAATAGCAAGAACCCAACAGGCTTCCTCTGCACAGTGACTTTGTAGATTAGGGAGTGTACTCCCACTACTTTTCTCTAGAGTCTTTTAATCCTGAAAGAACATGGGGAAGTTTTTCCATTGCTGCTACAGTAAGTGAAATGACTGTACTGTGGAGAGTTGACTGGCAGCATTTAAAGAGCCATGATACCAGTCTGAGCAGGTTACTCATCTGAATGTGGAATGCCACTTCTTTCTCACTATTGTTCCATATTTATTGATTGGAATTTACACAATAGACCTTCTGGGCTAGGATATGTATTAATTCTCTCTTTGGATGGCAGAAAACAAATATTTCAGGAATTTTTCAGGGAAGAATGTTGAAAGAATATTATAGGATGTACTAAAAATCACAGAAAAATACCCATTCCTTAAATGAAATAGCCTAACCATGCAAATAATGTCTGAGGCCACACAACTGGTGGAGAATTATCCATATCCCAGTCTCACTCTCCAGTGAGCATCTCCAGAGGCATTTGCTATCTATCAAGGGTGTTTCTTCTTGCAGCAAAGTAAGAACCTGCGCTTTACCCTGCGATATCATTACTCATAAAACAGGGTCCCTGTGAGCTGAGATACTTGGGATCCTTCTCAGGCGCTGGAGCTGAAATGTGTCTGAAGCTGCCGGGGGCGGAGGAGGCTCCGTAGCCCCCGGGGATCGCCGGTCCCTGCGCTGCCCCGCCCAACGCGGCTCCGCTACAGGTGGATAAAGGTGGCTCTTCCCCGGCTCCCTGCTCTCCTCCAGCCCGTCCTTCCTCACGGCGGCTCTCCCCAGGCGTCCCCCTCCCGCTCGCTTGGGAGGGGTGCGGGGAGGGGGCGCGGGCGCTGCCGGCCGGGGGCGCGCCCCCGCACCTGTGCGCGGCTCCCGGGGCGGGAGCGCCGTGCGGGGCCGGGGCTGACGAGCGGGGGGCTCCCGGCGCCGGAGGCGGCGCGGCGGCATCCCCATCCTCCTTCTCCTCCCTATCCCTCCGCCTCCTCCCTCCCTACCTTCCCCCGGGCGCCCTCTGCACTTACTTCTCGAGCCACCCTCGTAGACAAACTTTGATGGGGAACCTCGCACCGCGCTGGAAAAATGCCGGTTATGAAGGGATTATTGGCACCCCAGAATACCTTCCTCGACACCATCGCCACCCGGTTTGACGGCACACGTGAGTCCGGGCTGGGGCTTCGGACTGCCGGGGAAGGGGATGCACGGGGGGCATTGCGTGTACGGTGGGAGCTTCCCCTTCCCTCCGCCCCCCGGGGGTTCCCTGGTACCAGAAGCCGGCAATGAGGAAGGCGAGGCGAGGGAGCTCCCAGGCTCTCTCTCCTGCCTGGCTTCTCCACAGCTTTGCAGGCGAGGAGGGCGCCGGGTCCCCTCCGCCTGCGATGCCCTGCGCGGGGGCTCGCAGGGGCTGAAGCCCGGCTCCCTGCGGGAAAGTTGCGCGCTGGGCTGGGGCTTCCCCCGCGCCCCAGGCAGCCCAGAGACCGCCCGGGAGAGGCACGCTCAGAGCCTGGGCTGGGCTTCGCTAGGAGGTTTCGGGAATCTATTTTGTTGAGTACCCCTAGCCTTGAGGGGTTCGAAATGTCCCCAAAAGCTGAATTTCTGTGAGTCGGGCTCCGCAGTGGCAGAGGCTGTGGCAGGGCGTTGGTGGCGGCAGGCGGGCAGGACCTAGGGTCCCCCGGCGGTGGCGGCCCGGCTGCAGCACCACGGAGAGGTCCCGGCCCGGGCGGGGCCCGGCCCGGCTCGGCTCCGCTCCCCCGGGCGGGAGCTGCCCCCCCGGCACGGCTGCCGTGCTCCCCCTCCGGCCCTGCGGGGGGACCCGCCTGTGTCCTGACTTCAGTTTCCTCTTCAACGGGGCTCGCGCATAATAAAAGGAGCAGGGAGACAGCGAATTTGAGCCAAAATGGACTGCCTTCCCTTTAATTCCCTTTTAAGAAATCTAGTCATCAACAGTGGAAAATAAACAAACTCAGGTTTGAGTTGCTGTTAGCTGTTTCTTGACTGAAAACATTGCTATCTAATTGGTTTGGTATCTTCTTGATTATTGGCATTCCCTCTGTGGTTCAATTACCGTGTGATTAAGACAGCTGAACTGTGATTACTGAATCAGCAAGTTGTAAACCGTCAAGAAAATGATGCAGTCACAGAGATCAATTGCGGAGAAGCACAGAACTGCATTATAACTGCTCTGCTAGTCTGAGGATACACAGATAATTACGATCCAGGGTTGTGTGTAACTGATACTTCAATATAAAGCAATCTCTCGTAAAACTACTTAGATGTACCTTTAAATTCCTTTGACTACAGAACTCAAAGTCCTTTTCCCCCATCTTCCAACCTTTTATTTCTACAAAGTGTATGGGTGTTATTTACTGCGTATTGGAGCATGTGGCTCTTATTAGAGTTTTGTTGCTGATACTGCTGTTTGCCAGAAAAGCAATCCTTCCCTTTGTGCTCAGGACCTCCCCCTTCACAATGGTTTCCTTTCAAAGGATGAAGCACACAGCCTGTGAGCTGTACACACAAACACTTCACATATTCTATACTGTTCTTCAAAGATTCAATTTAGCAAGCAACATTAGTGATGACATCCAGGTCTCTTATTAAATAAAACACCAGAAAAATGTCTAATCCCCATCTTCTCAGTGACACCAACAGGCGAGTGTGGTAGAAAGCTCTTTTCTTAGCTGGATTCTACACTCATGCTGAGCTCCTTTTTAAGACAATAATTTTGCTGACTTTCACAAAGTGAAGGACTGACCTTTCCTTAAACAAAAAACAGACCCCGGCATCTTACATTGAAATTTAATGCTAACAACTCATCTGCTTTTTCTTGGGATATAATTGAAAAATAATGTAATTAGATATTTAAGTTCACCAGAGAGTGCAGCACATTATCTATTTATTAGAGTTTATTGAAATATTTCTTTTTAGTTAGCCTTCCAGAACCGCTTAAATATTAAACAGGTGTATTCTAGAAGTTCTTATTGCATGATCATTGGCATGTGAAATATTCCAGGACCTTCACACAGAAACGTGTTTTATGTACTATGTGGTTTTACACCTAGAAAAACTTTGAAGGAAGACACTATTCCATGGAAAACAGCTGGCATGTCTCTTAAAATACAGAATAATGTGACATCTCCTTTAGAGCGTTAAAGAGATGAATCAGCTTTATGTCATCTGAAACAAAGTTTCAGAAATAGAAATTATTTCAGTTCAGAAACAGCTCACCTGCTTTGTTGATTTGGAAATGCTAAATTAAAATATAAAATTAATACTTCTTTAACTGGCCAAAAAATTTCAAATAAAAAATCATAATTTTTCAAAATATGTGTACATATCTGACCATCAAGTAGAAAAGTTAAAACCAATTTATTTTTAATTTAAATTGCCTGTGTGGCTAGTATTCCTGAGCTTGCTCAGGTGGCTAAAGCTAGAAGTAGTACCCATGGCTAATCCTTGCAGGAATCAGTCCCATGCCTTACTAATTTTATGGGTGATACAGTCTGTGGAAAGAGTAGGATTGATCCATGGCACTGAACCTGAGGTTATGTTTCAAAACCTTTGATCTCCCACATGCTGATATTTAAATGTTAAAATAATGTCTTGTGTCCAATGTATTTTTTTCTTTTTCTTTTTTATTTATTTTTGTTTTCCTGTTGTTTTAATACAGTCTGTAGTTAACAGACCTCTTTTCAGTTTAAGCCTCTGGGAAGGATATATTATGTTGTCATCAGTGATAGACTAATCCACCAATGCATCTTTAATCCAGAAGGGGGATAATTCTAATTCCGGGCAAAAGTGCAAGAAGGGATTCCAGATAATATTAGAAAATATGCTTTGCTTTGCACGGAATTTTCAAAATTTCATTGACAGAACTTTTTAAACTATACTATTGCAGTGACTTATGTCTAATTAGCAGTTATAAATTTCACTATGAAAAAATATTGTAGATCTCAAAAAAAAATGTATAAAACAAGTCTTTGGCAGGTGCTTCAGCTGTGCAGAATCTCCCAGTAGATTTTTTTTTCAGTATGTTACACATCAGTATTCTTTATATATAAAACCAATAATATGTGCTAAAGAAAGCAATTAGATTAATTTTGGGGTTACTATTAGCTGTGCAGGAGATTGCAGAAGTCTCCTGCAAATTTCCCATTACCTGTGTTGCAGATGTGGAAGAGCAGCATTAAAGGTTTGCTTCTCTGGATTTCCATGGCAGAGCTCTTGTCTCTGTGTGCTGTCATACAGACACCTTCTTCCAACTCAAAAATATCTTTTGTGGTCCTGCATCTTAAATTAAGTTAATGGTTTCTCACAATGTTTTCCTCTCCATCCAAAATGTAAACACTAAGTCAGCTAAGATTTTTTGCCCCCTCTGTTAACAATGTGTTTATTGCCTATGTGGAAAACAAGCATAAGCATTTCAAATGAGTGGTGTGGGGTTTAGGGGTTTTGGTTGGTTTAGTTTTGTTTTGCTTTTTATATTTTCGAGACAAAATAACATTTTAAAGTGTGAAAATATTTAAAATATAAACCTATAATTAACCCCACCACGAAATATTATGAAACTGAATGTCTGAAGTGAGTTATTACACTTCAAGTTTTTGAATGGAAAATTTGCATATTGCTGCTTCTTAACCCTATTTAGATCAGGCAAAGCATTCTGAAATAGTTGCATGGTAGGAAATTATGTTCTATTGTTTTCATATATATATACACACATACATAAATATTCTTCATGCACTATTTATTTATTTTAATAAATACACACCAAAGTCGTGGTTTCTGGAAATGTGTGCGACTTTCTCAGAGAGTAAAGTCAACAGAGATTCAGCAAATAGCCTTATTAACTTTTATTTAAAAAGAACAACAATTTTGTGTTCATGGTTATACTATGAAATGACAGCTGAAGTTCTATAATTATCTCCTGTCTGTCATATGTGATCAGATTCCATAATAAGTGCGTACTTCACATTCTTATTGACAATTTTACACTATCCAACCTGAAGATCAAGCTGAGTAAATTTCTTCTTGCTCAGTGTCAATGGTGATTATCTGTTAATTCTCTATTTGCTGAACAACTTCTACATTCAAATATATTTTCCAATTAAAGTCGTGCTCAAGTACTAACAAAAGGATCTTTGCACCTAAACAGCAATTTTCATAACTGTTTGGTTTTTTTCCTTCCTGATAAAATGGAATCAGTTTTCTGATTGTTTTAGTTACCCTTGAGGTATGATTGAAAAGCACCTGATGAGAACATACAGATTTAAGCGTACCAAATGCGATGTCAGCACACTTCTGCTGGCACTGTGGGTAGAACCAGGTTGTCTCTTTTGCATCATTGTCAGTTGGTAGAGAGCTGAAAGCCTTTGTGTGCAGTGATCTTTCCAGATTGCAGATTGCCATTGAGGGTCAGATTCCTCCCCCACTCTTTCCCAGCTACCCCCAGCACTTGCTTTCCTGTCTCACAAACAAACTGGTGATGTCTGCTAGGTTGAACCAATGAACTAACACTTTCTGTAACTTTGTTGTCAAATTCTGTCTCATTCAGGGTGAATCCTATCCTCTTTACACCAGTCAATGTGCTGCTGAATAGTATCACAGAAACTTCAAAAGCAGAAAAGTGCTTCTTAGCTGCCTGGGGGTTCTCCCTCACACAAGTTCAAGGAATTGCAGCAGTATCAGGTGTAGGGAAGCAACAGCTGAGTTTCCAGGGGGAGGAAGCTTTTCATCAGACTCCAGGATCAGAATGTTCCACCTGACAAAGACAAAATATGCTCCAGTTACACACTGGGAGCAGAGTGGCTGGAAGGCTGCCCAGCAGAAAAGTCCCTTGGGGTGCTGGGTGACAGCTGGCTGAACGTGAGCCAGTGTGTGACATCCTGGCCTGTTTTAGGAATTGTGGGGCCAGTTGAACCAGGGCAGGGATCATAGACCATACATGGCCCTGGTGAGGCTGCAATTTAAACACAGTGTCCAGCTCTGGGCCCCTCAATTCGGGGAGGACATTGAGGTGCTGAGGTGGGTACAGAGCAGGACAGTGAAGCTGGTGAAGGGTCTGGAGAGAATGTCCTATGAGGAGCAGCTGAGGGAGCTGGCGTTGTTTAACCTGGAGGAAAGGAGGCTCAGGGACACCTTATCACTCTCTACAAATGC